CCCCTTAGAGCGTAACGACAATGATCCAAGACACATTTATCCTGATAGAGAGGGGTGTGTGGTAGTTGCGGGATAGGCATGGAACATCTCTGAGTAAGATGGCAGCTATCTTAAGCTGCGGTGAGAAGCCCAGGAAGTGTTCTGCACGTGGCGGGCGGTGATCAGGAAGGGTTCTGGAGGCGGACGGGCTGATCCAGAAGGGTTCTGGAGGAGGGGGGCACTCCGGAAGTGTTCCCGAGAGGATGGGGGGGCGCTCCAGAAGGGTTCTGGAGAAGGCGGGGGGCTGCTCCAAAAGGGTTCTGGAGAGGGTGGTGTCGCTCCAGAAGGGTTCTGGAGGGGGGCGAGCGTGGCCCGGAAGGGTTCTGGAGGGGGTATGGCGCGGTCCGGAGGGGTTCTGGAGTGGGCCAGGGGTGTTCCAGAAGGGTTCTGGAGGGGGCGGGGTCGCTCCGGAAGGGTTCTGGAGGGGGCTGGGAGCGGCCCGGAAGGGTTCCGGAGGGGGGCGGGGGCGCTCCAGAAGGGTTCCGGAGGGGGCATGGGCGCTCCAGAAGGGTTCCGGAGGGGGTCGGGGGGGGCTCCAGAAGGGTCCTGGAGGACGGGGGGTGCTCCAGAAGGGTTCCGGAGGAGGCGGGTAGGGCTCCGGAAGGGTTCTGGAGCGGACCAGGGGCGTTCCGGAAGGGTTCTGGAGGGGGTTGGGGTCGCTCCAGAAGGGTTCCGGAAAGGGCGGGGGGGGTCTGGAAGGGTTCCCGAGGGGGGCAGGGGTGCTCCAGAAGGGTTCCGGAGGGGGCGGTGGTGCTCCAGAAGGGTTCTGGAGAGGGTGGGGGCGCTCGGGAGGTGTTCTGGAGAAGGTCGGAGGTGGTCGGGAGTCGTTCCAGAAGGGGGCAGGGGTGGTCTGGAAGGGTTCTGGATGGGCGGGGGGTGGTCCAGAGGTGTTCCGGAGAGGGCCCGGGCCGCTCCGAAGGGGTTCTGGAGGGGGCGGGGGCACTCCACAAGTGTTCCGAGGGGTGGCGGCGCGCTCCAGAAGGGTTTCGGAGAAGCAGGGGCTCTCCAGAAGTGACATGGAGAGGAGCGGGTGAGCTCTGGGCAAGAGGGCGAGCTCTGAATATGAAATATGTTCTTCTGAAATGATCCAGAAGTGAACCGCATCATCCTAATCGTCATCATCATCATCAGCATCACCATCACAGGAGGGGTCATCATCATCACCATCATCATCATCATCATCATCATCATCATAATCATCATCATCATCATCATCATCATCATCATCACCGCCATCATCCTGATCCGCACCAGCGTCATCATTATCATCGTAGTCGTCACCATCATCATCATCACCATCTCGCATCATCATCATCAACATCATCATCCCCATCATCATCACGAATCCTCAACATCATCAACATCGGCATTAACATCATCACGCATTATCACCAGGAGCATCACCACCTCGCACCATAATCATATCATCATCACCATCAGCATCACCATCACACATCATCACCATCATCATCATAACCATCACCATTATCACGCATCATTATCACCATCACGCATCATCACCATTTGCATCATCGCGCGTCGTCACCATCTCGCACCACCACCGACATCATCAGGGGCATCATCATCACCATCATCATCATAGACCGTCACCATCATCATCATCATCATCATCATCATCATCACCATCACCATCATCATCATCATCATCATCATCATCATCATCATCGTAGTCGCAGTCGTCGTCGTCGCCGCAGTCGTCGCCCCCTCCGCGCGCCTCGTCGCTGGCCGAGCGCGCGCTCATCGGGCCGCCTGGCCAACGCGCGCTGCTGGTCGGCCAAGGCCGCGCTGAGCAGGCACGGGAGCGCTGGCTTGACCCGAGGTGCCGTCCAGCGAGTCGCAGGCATCCATGGCATAGCATAGCACGCGCAGGGGTTGAGGTTCCTCTTCGCGCCCCCAGCAAGTTGGGGTTGAGTCCAGCAGTGGCGACAAGGAGGCCCAGTCTATCTTAACATGCACTTTATGTGCGAACACGAACCTGCATCCGAGCCCACATCACGGCCTATGTCCGCCAGGCCCATAGAGCCCAGGCCATTGCACCGCATATCTACCTCTTGGGACAGGCGTTCAGCAGCCAACGCCACATAATAGCATAACATAGTGTGACATGGCAGCGCGTAGCATAACCAATACCATCGCATTGCATACCACATGCGCGCACATAGCATGACACAGCATACCACTTCATAGTCGCAAGGCAATCGTTGCATATCCAGAGGTGCCGAGCGCGCAGCGCTGCGAATGCCCGATTCCCAATGGGCCCAATGGGATCCAAGAGGGGTTCACCAGCGGTTGACCTCCCCTCCTCCTCTTGAGCGCCGCGTCGCACGCGTGCTGCAGCGTTCACCCCCTCTGAACACCCTGTCACCCTCGGGGCGAATCGCGCGGCCACGCAGGAGGAGCAGCGGACCAGGGGGGCGATGAAGGAACAAGGAGGAGAGGGAGGAGACAGAACAGACACGTCGGCTGTCCAGGATCAACGTCTAGTGCAAATGTGGCACCTCCGAGTCAGCGAATGGCCTCTGATCGCCAATGCCATCGTTCGACGAGGCTCCCGGGAAACGCCCGACTCTGAGCTATCACCTAAGTCAACATGTGGACTTCTCGGGATGTCCAGCCCCTTGCTCTCCCTTCCGCCCCTTGCTCACCATTCCTCTCTCCTCTCCCCCTTCCCCCCGCAACGCGAGGTAGCACGGCGGTGGCGACCATGGCAGAATCAGTGGCATCTATCTCCCCTCTCGTCACAGCTTGACTCGCCTACCACGGTTTCAGGGGGCGTGCTAGTTATTGCTTTAATCATCCATCATCGGCGTCGTTTGCGTCGTGTCCGAACGATCCGAGATTCGTTGACGTCGTCGTCGTCGTGCCTCGTCAACCTTCCGACGCCATCCTCCAGGGGCCCAAGGGCCCCAGCAGAAGGTGCATCGTCGTCGTCGCCTTTGATCCGAGGGGGGGGGGCCTATAAGTCCCAACTCTTGCGGCGCTCTGGCTCCTGTCCAACGAGACGGTAGCGGGCGCGCGCGGACAACTGGCAACGCGCAACAGACATCGTGCAACAGCTGAAACAGGCGAGGCTGCAGGCCGCACCCAGAGAGGCACTTATCTAATCACGCAAAGCTGTGTCGCCATGCAACGCAGACGCCGCACATGACGTCATCTGGGAAAGGAATCGCCGGCGGACGACCATCCACTCTTGGCCACCCCTCGAACTCTGGGCGCTCTGTCGCGCGCACTGCGGCGTGGGCGCACGCGGGGTGGTAGGCAAGCAAACACACTGGACAGAGAAACACGAAGTCACCTTTCCCGCGCCAATCGCACGGCGCCACTACCTCGTCACCGCTTGAAAGACATGTTTCCCACATGCGCAGCAAGGACATCATGTCAGGCGCTAGACACGGCCTCAAGGCTTTGACGCTCGTCTTGATCATGGGGGACCCAACGTCCGGGTGAATCAACACAGGCTCGTGCAACACGCGCGCCCTGTAAGGGAAAGAGCCGTCCAGTGCCTTGTAAGAAGCAGCTGCATAGACGCATGTACCATCATCCACTCGCACGAGCTGCCCCTTTGCCCGCGACGAGTCATACCAATTCACCACTGACACTCGCCGTTGTCGGTGCCCCGAATCTGGGTCTGCTGAAGCGGGTTGATCCCCTTCTCAGTCTGAGCCCTATTCCGTCCTCCTCCTAATGCTGCTGCGCTGCAACCGCCGCTGCACCTCCTCCTCCTCCTCCTCCTTCCTCCTTATCCTCCTCCTTCCTCCTCATCCTCCTCCCTCCTCATTACATTCGTAAGCATGGCACGCCTCCCCCATCCTCACGTGCACCCCTGCCCTCCCTCCCTACCTGGCATCATCGCGCCCCCTGCCCTCCTCCTCCTCCACCTCATCGGCATGATCATCATTAGCTTGCTCCTCGCCCATCCCATGCCCCTCTTCCCTCCATGCTGAAGTCACAAGCTGAAATCGGCGCGGATATAATCTCTCCTCGGGGCCCTCTAGCTCGCAACCTCGGCAACTCGCAAGACACTCGACGCGACAAAAGGATGGGGTCCTTCCCCTGCGAACTGCACAAGGGACATGTTGGACCCGTTCGTGGCGCCAAGGGTTTCCAGGGTGACCCCAGCCACCGCCGCCGCCCTCCACGCTAACACCCTCGCCCCCTGCAGCGCCCCCGCGCGCTGCCCCCCGCCGAGGCCGCCGTCGGGGCCGTCGCGCCAGGCAGCCAGCGCAGCGGCGGCGTCGCCCACCTGGTGCCGAGCGGAGGCAGCGCGATGGGGGCGCGGGGTTGAGGCGAAGGACGAGGGGACGAAAGTAGAGGAGAGGAGGAGGAGGAGGAGGAGGAGGAGGAGGAGAGGAAAAGGAGGAGAGTCATGAAGACGAGGATGAAATGGAAAGGAACGGAAAGCCAATGGGGGAATGCTCGGCATTACGGCATGAGCATACCATTAGGGGGATTGTGGTCGCTGATGGGATGGTTGGCCTACTCTGCGGGCCGAGATATATCCCCAAGAAAGAGCAGCTGTCTTTGACGAATACGCTCGCTCGGCATTTGGGTCTCCCGGGGAGGGAAGGATGAGGAGTACACCTCGGGAGGGCAGAAGAAGAGGAAGTGGGGGGGCGAGGAGGAGGGGGAGGAGGAGGACGAGGAGGAGGAGGAGGTTGAGGAGGAGGAGGAGGAGGAGGAGGTTGAGGAGGAGGAGGAGGTGGAGGAGGAAAACGAGGTAAGAGCGAGGGCGGTGAGTTTGACGCCCCCACGTGTCCAAGAACAACTGCAGCGCCACCTCCACCGTCGCCGCTGCCGACAGCAGGAAGTGGAACAGGTACTGCCAGTGCATCTGCTTGAGCCTCCGCCGCTGCTGCTCCCGGCACTGCTGCCACTGCGGCAGCAATATCTTTTGCAATCCCAGCTCCAAGGATAGCGTGGTCATAAGCCAGCGGGTCTTCCTTGGCTTCCTTTGCTTCCTCGAGCGCGCCAGGGTACAACTTCGCATACGCCTTGAAAAACTTCGCAGCGAACTTCTGGTCTCCAATTGCGCTGGCCGTCTTGGCCAGGTCTGCGTTGGCCATGAAAGCCTCTGGGACCCCAGAGAGAAGATCCGTCTCTGCAATCGCATCTGCGTCGGCAAGGGCCAGCTGCCCGTCGATCGCCTCGGCGGCGGCCGCCGCCTCGGCGGGGTCGGCCATCGCAGCGGCCGCAGCCCCAGCCTTCAGCATGCCCTTGCCGCCGCCTCTGCCTCCTTTCCTGCCCCTGCCCTTGCCCTTGCCACCGGGCTCTGCAGGCACGACGGCCTCCGCTGGTTTCTTCCGCTTGGGCTTGTACTCGGACTCTACGACTGGGGCCAGCACATCTGCGATCGCGCCCATGTTGACCATGTCCGTGAGGCTCAAGACGGTGGTCGAACTCGTGATTCCTACCCCATGTCGCACGACTCCGACCGTGTGGTCGAGTCGCTGGCCAGCCTTGCATCGGTCGTACAGCCGCAAGAACAATTGCTGCGATGTCATGTGGACGACGGGCTGCGCCAATGACACAGTGGCCTGCACCATGTCTACATCTGCACAGACGAGGTTCACTTTCACGAAGGTCCCGACGTACCCAAAACATGACTCGCACAGCCAAGCCGACGACGCCCCGTCGCCAGCAGCATCCTCTCCGGCGAACGCGATGATCGAGGAGGTCACATCCTTCCCACGGGTAAGGTTGCAGGATTGCCAATACCAGGCCATGTTGTAGGACGCGGCCCACTCTTTCGCAGCCTTCGGAACTATTGCGTCAATGGTGCGCTCGTTGGGGATCGCGACGGGGTCGTATGCAAGAGGCGGAACCGCCCATCGCTGCGGCAGCGTCAGCACTGAGCGGATCTCGCTGGTAAACTGGATGGAGTCATCTATGGTAGCGTGAACGCAGTCCTTGATCTGGCTCCACTTCAAGGTAGCAGTTGCTCTACTGCCAAGGCCGTATTCCTTCCGGAGCCCGATGCGGGCGTCCAGCAGCGCCAGGGAAATGCGAGGTGCCCGCTGGCACACCACCTGCCCTGCCCTCCCTAACAATGCGGGGCATCTGCCCGCCCCGCCGCTGACCGCACAACCCTGCTCACGAACAAAGACTCGGCGCGGACTCCACCCGCTCACGTGCTTACCTCATGCGCTCGTGCCTCTACGCACCCGAGCACTTGTCTGCATTATGCACGGGCAAAGCGCCTCCCCTCTCTTCCCGCCCCACCTGCAGCATGTTGTTTATCCCCTCGATCTCCTGCGTGTCGCACCTCCATTGCTCGCACACCATCCTCATCGGCGCGTAGAGGCACGTGCTGAGGGTGCCGCTCCGCAACGCCTCCTAGGCGAGGGAGCAGCATGCAACAAAGAGCATAGAAGGGGGGGGGAGGGGAGGAGGAGGAAGAACAGAGACTGGGGGGAGGAGGAGAGGCAGGAGGATAGGGGCAAGGGGGAAAAGGAGGTGGAGGAGAAGGTGAAGAGGGAGAGGCGGGGGAGGAGGAGGGGGAGGCGGGCGAGGGGGGAGGGGGAGAAGGAATGGAGGAGGATTCCCTGAGGAGTACGGGGTGTTCCTCCAGTTCTGGCTTGAAAAGCCTGACAATAGTGGCAGCCGTGATGTGGAGCGCCTTGGGATCTGCGGGCGTGAGCAGCTCGCGGGCGAGATCCCTCCGTTTAGCGCAATCTCGGTGTGGCGGGCTGTAGGCCAGCCAGAGAAGCTTCACAGGGTACGAGTCACACGTCGAAGAGACGACCCGAAACTGGAAATCCCCATGCACCTTGAGGGCCCCCTGCTTGATACAACCGATGACGGCGGGGCTGGCAACGTCTGGTGGATACTTGCCAAGGATGCCCCTCCAACCAGCACCTCCAACATCGATGCGATCCTCGATCTGCCGATGGATTTCGGCTGCTTTCTCAAACACCATATCTGCTAGATTCGAGACTTGGCCTCGAAGTCGAACCTGTTGAACAGAATGGAGCATGTGGTCCAGGGGCCCGCGCAAATGCTGCGAAGTTTCCATCGCCAACCAGAACCGCTCGTCCCGGAGCGCAACCAACGCGTCGGAGGCGAACTTGCCCATCTTTTCTTTGTAAACTGCAGTGTCGGTCTGGTCTATCTCGTTTAACCCAGACGTTGGAATTGCCTGCTGCTGCTTCTCCCCATCTATCAAGGGGTCGTCGGGCCTGGGGCACCCGATGGCGGCAGTCATGATGGCCCTGAGCTGGGCGCGGTCGCAGCGTAGAAGGTGGCGTTCACAATCCCGCACAGACCCCCACCGCCCCGTGATGGGGCGGGGGGGGACTCGATGGGCGAAAGCAGCAATCGCCTTCGTGGGGCTATAACAATCGCACCAGAGCGTGAATATGCGGACAGCGTTCGCACGCCACGAGTGCATGATCTTGGCCACGGCCGACCAGTAGAAGTACTTCGCTCCGCTTACACGGAGGAAAGAATCCATGTGATGCAGCGCGGTCTTGACCATGAGCGCATACTGATGGGCAAGGCAGTTTACAGTGAACACGAGCGTCGAAGGCTGAGCCGCGAGTCGCAGCTGGAGCAGCCCCCGAGCCTGATCTTTGGAAAAGATCAGGGAGTCAGGGATGACGCCGATGATGACGACGACGATCGACGACGACGCGACGGCGAAGATCATCTTTGCCGTCGCGTCGTCGTCGATCGTCGTCGTCATCGTCGTCGTCATCATCGTCGTCATCCCTGACTCCCTGAACGGGGGCCGGGCAGGGGGCCAGGGGGGCCCCCTCCACTTTCACATCCATCGAGGGGCCTTTACCTCGTCGCCCCCCGCGTCGGTGCGCGACGTCCACACCTGGAGGCACCGAGTACCAGCAACTCTATTCCACGAGTCGAAGGGCTGGCTCTGGCTATCCCCCCCAACGCTCGCCGCGCTCGCAACCTCCACCGCATCTCCAGGCGGCGGCGCTGCCGCGGCAGTGCTGGCGGCGGCGGCGCTGCCGGAGCTGTCCTCGAGGGCGAGGGCCGCCGCGGCGTCGGCAGCGACCTCTCGAGGAGACCCCGGCGGGCGTTGGGAGCAGGAATGGAGATGGGAGGAGGATGGGGATTGAGGGCGACTGCGTCCGACGGTCCGACGACGACGACGACGACGACAGACGATCCGAGGGCGTGTAAGTTGCCACGGGATGTCGGACCATTGCCGTATCTCTGGCGTCGGGATCCGCCCATGACAAAGGTAAGATGTTAGACGTGGTAGTAGTGTCCAGGCCGATTGATCGAAGCTGCTTGCGCGTCATGGAAAGCATCCCGTCGCCGCTCCCGTGCTCCAACGCCTCTCTGGCCAGCAAGGCTCGCGAGGCGGAGGAGGAGGAAACGAGCGACAAGGAGGACACCTCATCCACCTCATCCCTCCCTATTCTTCCCTCCTGCACCACCCTTCTCCACCTCGCCGTCGTCTCCCTCGCCCTCCCGCTTCTTCCTTTGGGGTCAAGAGTTTCGAGGTAAGGCCTGGACGTCGCCCAGCATCTTCCGAGTGCGCGCCCCTGCCCGGACGACGCTGTACTCGGCGTCTGCGAGCACTGGGTCCACCACGAACGTGCTTTCCAATTCAAGTACGTGCAATTTCCGCTTCTGCCAAACCTAAGGGCGACGACGACGACGCCCGCGACGCCGACGACGACGACGACGCCGACGACTACGACGACGCGACGACGACGTGACGACGACGACGCCGTGAGGGGGGGCGGGATAGGAGAGAGACGAGCCAGGCACCTGGGCGTTGGTAGCATCCCCGCGGATGCTATGGATAGCCACCGTCCACCCGACTTCAACGGCGCCGTGCGAGTTGGTGGCCAGAGCGGCTCGGAACGCAAGCTGGGCCTGCATCTCGCGATACCCCTCGAAGATAAACGACCTCATCGATGCCACTCTAGCCGCCCGGGCCTTGATCTCCCACCCCGTCACGGTGGCGCCGTGGATGTCAAACCCCAACGCGAGCCCGAGCGTGCTGGCGGGCGAGGTGGATAACACTTTGCGGGTGGCGAGCATGAACCCGCCACGCCAAGACATGTATCTAGATGGCCGGAGCTCGAGACTGCCAATCTTGTCGGCCTGGTCTTTGATGGTGTCCTCATGTTTTTTCTGGTTATCTTCAAACCGCTTGATTCTCTTATTTGCGTTTTTGAGGTCCTGGGCCACCGAGCTGCGTTTCTCCTTCTGTCGGGCGACTTCAGCTTCGAGCCGAGCTATCTTCGCCAGGGCCGCTTCCAGCGTCTGTGGCTGCTGCTGGCCGCCTCGAAATGGGCAGATAGGAAGGGGGGGTTCGGGGTGCGGCGGGCGCCGAGGCGAGAACTCCCGTCGGCACAACCGTAATTGTGAAGACGTTCCGAGTGGGAGCATGATACATCTGGCACTGGCACGTCCACCGACTGCACTCGGACATTTAGGGGAGATTTGTTTTCTTCGAAGCCGCTGGGGCTTGAGGCTTTCCTCCTCTCCTCGAGCATTTCTTCCTATCTCGGCTCACCTTGTCACCTTGTCCTCCCTCGCCCTCCCTTTTGGCCACTCCCACCCTCCGTGACGTCGTCGTACTCGCCGCCGACGAAGCAACCGCTATCGCTGTCGCCTGCGACATCGTCGTCGCCGTCGTCCCCCTCCTCCTCCTCCTCCTCCTCCTCCTCCCTCCTCCTCCTCCTCCTCCTCCTCCTCCTCCTCCTCCTCCTCCTCCTCCGCCCGCGCTGCCTGCGCCCGCCGCCACCGGCGCCTGTGGCGCTGCTGGGGGCGCAGGGGGCGGCTGGGGCAGCCGGGGCCGCGGTGGCGGTGGCGGTGGCGGCGGTGGCGAGGGCGCGTCGATGCCGAACGCCCTCCCCAGCCGCCTCTTCGCCTGCTGGAGGGCATGAGAAGACCGAGGTGGAACTTAGAGTAAGCATAGGGCGCATCAACGGTGTCGCAATGCACCGCTTCACCTTCACCTCCTCGTCACGACGACGCAAATGCGAAGGAATGTGAGGATGCGAAGGAATGTGAGGAGCGGCAATGTGGGAAAGGAGCAAGACGCCGACGACGACGAAGCCGCATGGGGCCTCCTCCCAAGCTGCAGCCGCATGGGGGAGCCGCGTCCGCAGGAGGAGGTCGCCCAGCAGGTCGAGCTTCACGAAGCCGGGGGCCAGCTCGGCCCAGTCGAGCTCCCGTCGCAGCCTGCCACCCACCCCAGATGGGACGAAGGGGGAGGATGGCGGAGCAGCAGCAGCAGCAATGCACAGGTGGGTGGGGTCGGGATGGAGAACGTGGATGGATGGAAGGTCCTCCTCCCTCCTCCTCCCCTTCTCCCCTTCTCAACCTTCACCTCCTCCACTTCCTCACCAACATCCTACGTTAGTCGACGTCATCGTCGTCTGCGCTATGCCCCGTCCCCTCCGTTGACTCGTCAAGTTGGGCAGCGGCAGGCCATCGCGCTGTAGCGCAGCCACGACATTGCACAGTCCATCCACCGAGAGCGACACGTAGCCATGTCGTGCGTGAGCGCCGCTGAGCCTCGCGAGCACAAACAAGCGCTGCGCCAGGAACCCTGACATAGCCGCAACGGCTATGGAAGACTGGAAGAGGGTGGCGAATGCGAACGCAAAGCAAAGCCGTCGGCCGTCGCAACACAACCTCAACAATGGTTCACTGCAGACACGCCGACCGAGCTGAGCCTCAAGAGTGTGACGTCGGAACTACCCTTCGCGCAATAATGCAACGCAGTGCACATACATCTGTGATCAAATATCCATATATATATATATATATATATGCGCATTGCCCTCTGTCTCTCCACACTGCAGCGCACCCCAATGCACTTCATCCACGATGGCCCCCGAGTACCTGGGACAGCGACGAGGTGTTGAGGTGATGAAATGAAACGCCCGTCTTGGGACCGTCTTGGGGCCGTCTTAGGACCTATGTATCCCTTACCCTCACACTTATGAGCACGCCTTCGGCTGTATCCCGCACCTCAATGTGCTCGTACATGGCGATTGTTTTCCACATATACGATCGGTTTTATGTATCGAGCTCATGCGTTTCAACTATCGGCCACTGCATAGGCCTACGCAGGTCCAAACATAATTGCGTTGTTTTCAGGCACGCGCTGTATGTTTCCAGGCACGCGGTGCTGTTTTTTTCATGCACACGTTGTATGTTTTCAAAGCAAGCGTTGCATGTGCCACGTTTTGCATATAGCATGCTGGCTTATTTTCCAAGCACACGTTACTTGTATGTGTAGACACGCTATGTATGTTTATAAAGCCAGCGTTGCATGCGGCGCGCTTTACATGTAGCACGTCAATATATTTCCCAAGCGCACCTTGTATGATTTTCAGACTCAATGTGCATGTTTTTTTCACTGGTTTGGGCCCGTTGCGAGTTCACCTATGCAATAAATGATTACGTTTTAAGTGGCGGAATCGTTCTTTTTCAGTTTTGTCATCTGATTATTCATACAGCGCGCCCTGATGCGCGCCAATCGGCTCATGGCCGCGACGTTGCTCTGGAGTCACCGTCTGTGGGTCCAGAGCACGACGGGCGCCCCTCTGGAAGTAAACGGTTTGGGGTTCCCGAGCGCGGTTCTGGGGCCGCCGTTGTCAGGGCGAGACAGATCCCCATTCGAAATGTGCCCTTGCACGACAATGCGCGCGGACCTCGGAGACAGCTCGAAAACGTCCGAATGCGAGGACACGTTGCGTAGCTTACCAAGAGACGCCGGAAATCGACTCTCTCCAAAGCTCTGGACACCTCAGAACATACAACGCAATCCTCTCCCCTCGGCAATAACATGAAAAAGAAGATCGCGTCCCAGGCCCCCTTTCTTTGCGATAAGCGAATCACTGGCTCTCTTCAAACGCGGCACAAGAACTCTAACGCACATCGTTCGACGCCCATCGACATTTACATTCGCCCCGGTACTTTTCGGTTTTTCTTCCTGTGTAACCTGTGCAAGCAGATTAAGCTCACCACAAGTCAACGAATCAAATATTATGCTCATGCTGAGAACGAAACCAAAGCTCGACTCTGAGAGGCTAGCCGGCGGAGAGACAGAAGATACAATAAACATTTCGATCATCAATTTCCGGATACGTGGAGGCTGAGGCCGGCCGGCCGCGCAAGAAGAAGTAGATGGAACAATGGTAAGAGACCATACGTACACGAGAGGGAAGGAAAAGGCGGCGGAAGAGGAGAGGAAGGGAAAGAGGGGATCAGCAGCACATGACAGACGACAAGGAGAGAGAGGAAGAGGAGGCGAGCGGGGAGGGCCAAGCCTCAAAGAGGCAACGCGCGACGCGCGCACCCAAGACTCCATGCCGAGCGGCCGGGGAGGGAAAAGAGGGGAAGGAAGAAGGAGGGACGCGACGGGCGAACGACGCGAACGGCGAACGAACGACGACACAGCAACACGACGGACGAACGACGCCAAGGACGAACGAACGACGACACAGCAGCAGAAGGAAGGAAGAGAGGAGGGAGAGCAAGAAGAGGGGAAGAAAGGAACCGTAGAAGAAGGCCGATTACTGGCGGACGCCCATCGCGGTAACCGCGAAGCGGTAGAAAACCAGAGGAAGC